AGTAAATTATACAGAGTTAGGAACACTTCCATTACCCCTAAACTATTTATCTTTTAAATTACCATCAACTGGGATGAATTCCTAATTGTCCATGCTATGCTAATCCCTATATAAGAAGGAAGCTAAGGCATGCATCCCTAACATCATCAAGGCTAACATTGAAACAATTTAGCTTGCATAAAGTATATATATACAAGGAGACAACACAAGATAATGACAGCTGAATCTTGCACGATATTTTTTTTTGCTTCTTTTTAAAAAAATAAATACATCTAGCCCAAAGTCATTTATCAAATATGCATGTTTTGGGGATGGTTAAATTTAAATAGACTCCATATACAAAAAATGAATTTTGGAATGAAGGCACATTACAGAGTAAAAGGCTTACTATGACATTTTCATAAATTCCTGATATCTGTTGTTTTAACAATGGTGCCAAATAAAAGATTACTCCAAGATTTAAACTGGAGCTATTAGTGAAATAAAAATGGAACATTTACTTCATCCTACACTCTCTTACAAATGAATAGTGAACCAAAAGAAATTCTTTTCTTACATAGGATATGAATTCTTAATAGCCATAGTAAGCTAGAACAAAGATTCCACAGCTGAGAAGTATTTGAAAATACTGATTTTACTCAAAAGTAAACACCTTAGCAAAATTTCTAATTTGTGATAATAAAGAGTTGAGTTTTATCTCTTTTTATTACCCCCAAACAAAACAAACCAGTAACAAAGGTAAAAGTTAAGTTCTAGCAAAAGACCTAAATAACTTAAAAACCTCTATTGACACAAAAAATATGAAGGGTATTATTACACTTGATTGTGCTAATGTAAAACCTATACTTAGACCAGGAGGTAGTCATCAGAACAGAGCAAGGGAACACTGCATGGTTCACAATTGGGAAGGGTGCATGCCAGGGATGCATCCTATCTTCATATCTTTTCAACCTATATGCAGAACAGATTATCTGGGAGGCTGGGCTCTATGAGAAGAAGAGTGGCATCAGGATTGGTGGAAGATTCAACAACAATTTGTGATACGCAGATGACACAACCCTGCTTTGCTGAAATTGTGGAGGACCTAAAGTGCTTCCTGCAGAAGGTCAAGGACTGCGGCCTTCATTATGGATTGAGGTTCAATAATCAAAAGACAAAGATTCTCACCAATTGGCAACATTAGGATGGATGGTGAAGCGATTGAGATTGTTAACAACTTTAGTTTGCTAGGCTCCACAGTCAATACTCTTGGCACCAGTAGCCAGGAAATTAAGACATACTTTGATTGGAGTCTGTTGTTAGGGACCTCTCCAAAGTACTAGAGAGCAACAATGTTACTCTGGAGACTAAGGTGTACATGATACAGGCCATGGTCTTTGCAATAACTTGCTATGCTTCAGAGAGCTGGACAATGACTAGGGAGTATAGAAGGAGAATTGATGCCTTTGAGCTGTGGTGTTGGAGAAGAGTATTGAATATACCAATGACTGCTAAGAAAATGAACAGGTTGGTCCTGGAGAGGGTTAAACCAGGCTGCTCCTTGGAGGAAAGGATTTTGAAGCTTTGTCTGACATACGCTGTACATGTTGCAAGGAGGGATCGGTCCTTGGAGAAGGACATCATGCTTGGGAAGGTAGAGGGACAGTGCAGGAGAGGAAGACCCTCTATGAGGTGGATTGATTCAGTGACTGGGGTAATGGTGTTAGGTGGTGAAATTGGCACAGGACAGAGAAAGATTTAGTGCTGTTGTACATAGGATCGCTATGAGTCACAGGTGACTCAACGGCACATAACAACAATATTACATCTTCATGGCGGCTCCTCTTGATGGCAGTCAGGCAAGGGAAGTTTCAGGGGTCTTTTGCATTATGTGTTACTGCCCTTTTTGGCTTTCAAAGCTGCATGGACGCCCCTGACCCATAGAGTAAGGGCCATGTAACCCTGGTATGTCAACTTGCTGTACAGAGGTAACACGTGGCTGCTGTGAAGCCAAACACTGTGACAATGATGAGTCAATTGTGAGGAGCTTCACCAAACACTGTCCACCATGGATAACCATTCTCGCATTTGACTCATCAGTGTCACAGTGTTCAGCTTCACAGCAGCCACGAGTTACCTCTAAATTTCTTAATTTTTATTTTAAAGAAAGGAAAGATTTATTCTCTAATGGTTACCAAGGGAAGAAAAATCATTAACTAGCAAATAGACATGTATTAGCGTAGGTGAAAGGTAAGGCAATATATTAGGGGGGGGTGTCAGGACAAACAAGGCAAAGGAAGGCACTGGAATGTACACAGAATAAAAGGCAACAAAGGTAAATACTGTTACATATATAATCCTGTAGTAACAGAAATAACAAACAATAATTTATTAATAGTAGGTATGTAAGCTGAACAGGAGTGAAATGGCAGATGGAATACATCATAAGCATATATAGGTTTGGCAGAGGCTATTTCCACATACATATTTGTATACGCTAGAAATATATTCAGATCTATAGTAGATAGATACACAAAGATACACAAATTTCTTAGCCATAACCAAGTAACTTAAGGGAAGAAGACTCTAGGTTTGAGAGTTTAGGACAACAGAGGACATCTAGGTCAATTATTTATGAAGACAATGTTTTACATCCTACTTTAGTAAGTAATGACTATGATCTTAAAGCTTGCAAGAAGCCCTCAAAGGTACAACTATTGATCTCTCCTGTTTGGAGAAAAGAAGAATAGAGAAAAAGAAAAGGCATAATGAAATCATTAGTAAACAGACCACCAGAATCACAGCCTACACTAGCCAGAGACCAGAAAAACCAGGTGCTGCCCAGTTGCCACTATCAGCTACGGTGATCAGGATCACAGTAAAATGTCCTAGACAGAGTGATAGGAGGAAGTGCAGAACAAAGTTCTAAGTCATTAGTCTAAAAGTATTATATTTTAGGGCATTATTTTTATCATAGGAGTATGCAATGAGGGTTGCAGAGTGGATTATATTTGGGGGTAGGGGGTGGGGTT